CAAAGGAGTCTTTCTTGATCCCTCCACACCTTACTTAGTTGTTCATTTGTTTGAGAAGTGCTGGGGTTTCCCCCATGCATGCCAGGCAAGTGCTCTACCAGTCAGCTAAGGTCCTGCCCTCCACCTCACTTTCTTCTACCACCTCCTATCAGAACTCAACACACACCTCACTTTCTTCTTCTACCTCCTATCAGAAGAACTCTAACACACACCTCACTTTCTTCTTCTACCTCCTATCAGAAGAACTCTAACACACACCTCACTTTCTTCTTCTACCTCCTATCAGAACTCTAACACACACCTCACTTTTGGACACAGGGTCTCTCGCTGAATGGCGCTCATGGATTCAGCTAGACTGGCTGGCCAGCAAGATTTCCAGCTCTCCTGAGCACTCTTTCCCATCACTGGGATTACAGCCACACATCACCACACCAGCTTCCTTCACATGGGTGGTGGGGCTCGAACTCAGGTCCTCATACTCATGGGGAAATCTCCTAACCAACTGAATCATCTCCTGAGCCCTGGTAGTGTTCTCTAAAGGTGGTGACAAAGCCAATCAGCATCCTGGCTCATTCATTCTTCTTAGGGACTCTATTGCAACAGAAATGTGAAGCCCTTCCTTTTGTGTCTGTTTTCTAACACAATTCTGATAACAATAGAAGAATCCTTAAGCCCTCACCATGCATTTACTATGACCTTACAGATTTAAGTATTTTATGTTGATTAACTTCATTGAATCCTGGTGACAATGCAATGAAATCTATTTCATACAAAAGAAAAACTACCACCTGGCTCCAATTCGAAGTCACGGCCAGAAAATGGGAGAGCTGGCATTTTCCTAAACCAGACTTGGCTAAACACTGGGAAACGTAAAATAGGGTTGGCTTGAAGTAGTCCTGGGCTCAAGTTTGCTCTTGTTTGGTTTTAACCTGGGTAATCATCTCTAACAGGTGGTTTTCGGCTCTGTGAAGCTGTCGGGATGGGGGTGAGCTGCTCTATGCAGAAATGAAATGTGTTCCAGACAGCCAGTCAACTGAGAGTGTTAAAAGATTGCCCACAAACACGGAAAAGGAGTTGACAACAGTGCGACCCCCCTCAAAGGGAAATGGATAAGTTTCAGCAAAACGCCATATGAGTTTCCACTAATAAATGGGGTTGATGATAGAAAAGGAGGCAGGCAGCTCTCCAGAGTGCTGAGGTCAAGATCTCCATGAAACCATCACAGGGAGTCTTCATCTCTTCATGCTGACGGCTCATAGGCACATCACCAGATGCAAGCGTAATGAGAACCAGGGCACCAAAATGCTCAGTAGGGGATTTTTTAAAAAACAGATAAAAGCTCAGTGGTCTAATCTATATTTTAACACAGAAGAAAGTCATTTCAAATACACTGAGTAAGAGTCTTAAAAAAATTGGACTCATTAAGTACAGGGTGTGTCTAAATTGCTCCCGAAAATATGCAAAGAAGCCTTTGATAATGTTATTGTCTCAAGAATAAATGTAACAATAAAGCAAAACGACGAACATGTTTGACTATAGTTGGGTCTTGAACATGAGATACATCCCATCCTCTAAAGTCTTAACTTTCCTTCCCACCTCCATTCTTTTGTGTATTTAAGGCTTTCTTCTAACCCTTTCCCTCCTAAATTCCTTGTAACTTTACAGCTAGAATTAAGTACAGGAACTGGGCAGCCAAATGACACAACAAAAACAAAAAAATGAGGAGAAACTTAGAAAACAAGACTGATTTGGAGCAGAGAGCAAAATTGGTAACACATGCAGAGAATGCAAACTTCCCTGGGGGTATAAGTTTGGTTCTGTGATCCATGTATGATACTAAATAGTCCTTGTAAATAACCTTCTATGCAGAGACTTTTTAAAAGTTTTTCAGAAGACATGGAGGGTACACTTTGTGGTCAACATAGATATGAGAAACAGCTTTGAAATCCAGCTCTGTAAGGCAGAAGTCACAATCAGATATTCCACGACTATTTTTTCCATATCTACTTTTCCAGAAGAGCCTCAGGATTATGTTGCAAATTAAACAAGAATGTGTGACTTTATTAGACCTAAACATCTCTTCGTTGGTCCAGTCTTCCTTGAGAGAGACCAGCAAGATGTTTTGTTTTGTTTTGTTTCGCACAGGGTCTTCTCTAACTCACCAGACAGGATTGGGATTGAGCCTTGAAGGGTAAGGGTGTTTGTTGAGGACCAGACCCCAAATCCCCAGTATCCATGCAAGAAGCTAGGCACAGCCGCTTGCCTGAGGATAAGCAAGGCTCTCTAGCTGTCAACCCAGCTCCTGTGTCAAGGGAATTGGGTGGAAATTTTGAACAGGACACCCAGTGTTCTCTTCCAGCCTCCATGATGCACACACAAGCACACACTGACACATGCCATCTCACCCTCATATATACTTTGCTCATACACAGAAAACAAACCAAACACCTAGCCATATATTGAGGATGATCTTGAACTTCTGATATTCCTGCCTTTATCTCTCAAATGCTGGGATTATAGCCATATGCAGTACTAGGAATGGATCAACTCAGTTCTTCATACAAGCAACCCAACTAGTCTACTGACTAAGCCATAAGAATTTTATTATGTTATTCTCTTCCTTATAATGAGTCTTCTGTATTTTGGTTGGTTTTTAGACAGTCTTATTCCTGAAATAAAGAACAAAGTCTATTGAACAGAAAGGGAAAAAAAGGAAACAGAAATCTGTAAAGTTTTTTTCCTGAGATTAACAAAATCTCTTGTTATCCATTAGGCAAGTTATTGAATGATGTTTCCCTCAAGGGTGAATAGGAATGATGATGGGCAAGATGCAAGAGGTGAGAGAGATTATGAGATGTCCTCAAAGACCTGGGCTTGGAACACATTCTGTGAAGAAAGAGAGGGGGTTGAAGATAGGGTTTGATGGGCAGAAAGGATGTGGGCACTCTCAGTTAGCATGGGAGCAGAAAATGGACTCCCAGATGAACAAGAAGGAAGTCAAGAATATCTTCCTGGAAAAAAAGGGGGGTCCTCCAAGGTGAGCAGAGCAGGAACTCCACAGTGTCACAGAGCACAGGTGGTAAGGGGGGACCTGCCTTGTGAGAGAGAAGAGAGCTTGTGGGTCAGAAAGTCTGGAAGGGAATCTTCTGGAAGTGTATTTGGACCTCAAAAAAAAGAAGGTCAAGATGACCCAGTGAGGAGAACAGCTTGTTGACTGATTGACAGCCTGATAACCGGAGCTCCATCTCCAGAGCTCACAAGGCAGGAGAGAACTAACCTTCAGTCTGCCCTCTGACCGACCTTCACACACACACACACACCTGGGCATGCAAGCTTCAGTGCCTATCACGCACACGCAAACACACACAATAAATGTACTTAAACACAATACAAGAAGGATATGTCAGTAAGAGCCTGGATGAAAATCCACAGGTAGCATTACAAGACATGTCCCCAGAAGCATGCTTTTGCTTCGATATTGGTCTCTGGAGATGGGGAATGAGATAGGACAGCCATCCACATGTGACACTGGAAACCTTACACACAGTTTGCATTCACACAGGTTCAGCAAATCAACACACCCAGCTCCACCATGACTTACTATACAAGGAGTAAAGCACATCATTCTTTCTATGTGTGTCTCTGTATGTCTCTCCCTCCCTGCCTCTACCCCACCTCTCTCTCCCTCCCCAGGCACACCCTCTCTTACACACACACACACACACACACACACACTTGCATATTAAATTTATTAATCTGTTTCCAAGTCTTGGGTGCCTGTGTGTTGGACTGTCACTGAAAGTGAGGCTGACTGAATAGCTATCTATTTGTGGTGTCACATGCTAGGTCCTGCACATTAATTTCTTATTTTATTCCGAAGCCAGCCCTGCGAGTCAGGCATTCCCAGTCTGTATTCTAAGAGGAAAACTCAAAGCACAGCTACATGATGATGCTCCACTCTCCCAGCCCTTTGTAGGGATGAGCCAGAGTTCAGAACGCAGCTCTGCAGACTTGAAGCCATGATGCCGTGGACTCAGAAGCATCTTTCTGTGGAGGACAAGAGGGCATTGAACGCTTGGGCTTTGTTTAGCTGATGACATCCTGGCCTGTTTTCCTCCTCACATCCCTGCCTAAGTGGGGATGAAAAAGAGAGGTTCTGGGGTGAGCTGAGGAATAGAGGCACAGAAATATCTGTCGCTTTGGCTTTTATAAGGCGATAAAACAAAGCGACATTCAATCAGCCTGACGTTGGCCCTTTCTCCTGCACCACAGCATTTACTCCATGACATGTGAGTCACTGGGTGGGAGCTGCTTAGTTTTTGTACATAATAAAATGTTCTGTTTCCCTGACAGCCCACCCCCGCTTCTACAGCATGCCCTCAGCAACCACTGAATAAATGTGGGCTGTTAGGACCATTGCCTGTTCTTTCTGTCCGTGTTATATGAATCTGTACTGAACATTCATCCATCCCCTCCCTAGAGCTGGGATGTCTCCCAAGGCAGGGACTGCATTGTTCTGGAAACCCAGCTTCAGGGTGGTATGTGACTCTCGATAAGGGTTTGTTGAGTGACTGTGTTATGAGAAAAGTAGCCTGCAGAGCAGAGTTCTGACGGATTGGGAGCTCTGATTGGGTCTTTCAGTCAACACTCCTGTTCCTCAAGGAACAAATCCTTCAAAGCCAGAATGTTGTAGAAACACAGGCTTTCGGTAATTCTGAGCATGATATTTGCACATAGGAAGAAAACTGTAGTATCTGGTGGAGGCAACTTAATGGAGATATATGCTTGTCCTTGAGTTTATCCTTGGGATGGTGGTTGTCTGGACTTCTGGATTTATGCAGCACCTGGACTCAAACCCAAGTGCTGTGATAGGCAAGGGCTTTACCATTGAGCTACAGACCCACACTCCTAATTTCTTACCCTAAAAAAATCAAAGTATAATAAATAATAAATGTCTGAAACATATCGTGTATGTTTATGATGGTAGATTTTCAGTATTAATTTAAACACAGTAAAGAAGAGAGGATGAGGAGGAAACAAAGATGGGAGGTATACGCCTATTTTAATACAGTTTCCAAAATGTATGTGTTGTTGGAGACTTGACCTCAGAGCTGGAAACAACAAAACCCAAACTCATAATATGTTCTTGTGTTAGGGAATGGAGTTTTCCTGTTTTGTATTGATTTGCATAGTACTTTTGTAGTTCTTGGCTTAATAATCTCCCTGGAAAACAGTTCTGGAATGTTCATGATTATGAGGCATTGTTTGTTCTGCTATTTTCTCTCTGACCAAACCCACATCTTTCTCTAAAACGTGTCTCATTTTTAGGGTTTACAAATGAGACCTATTGTGAGGAGAGTATGCGGCACAAATGAGCCGCCAGCAAATATGCAGCTTCACCCAGCTGCCCTTCCACAGCATGAGCAGAAGTGCGGCTACTGAGACCTTCCCTCTTGGCAGGGCTCTCCCGAAGTAGCTAGTGTGTGTTCTTCTTTTAAAAACTGCCTGCACAAATGGATGGCACTAGAAGAAACCATCCTGAGTGAGGTAACCCAGCCACACAAAGATAGACATGGTATGTACTCACCATTTTAGACATGGATCAGGATATTTCCAGTCTGCAATTCCACTGACAGAGAGTCTGGGAAACAGGAAAGAACCTAAGAGAGATATGCATGGTACCCCAGAAAAGAGGAATGAGGCAAGATCTCCTGAACAGACTGGGAATACAGCGGGAGGACCTTCATCCAGTGACTGATGAAAGCAGAGGCAAACACCCACAGTTAAACACTGAACTGAACCCATGGAACCCAGTGACAGAGAGTGGAGTGATGAGCAAATGGACAAAGAATGGGCTGGCAAATCCAGCAGAGACAGCTGATCTGAACAAGGGGGAGCTCTTGGACCCCAGACCAACAGCTGGGAGGCCAGCATGGGACTGATCTAGATCCCCTGAATGTGAGACTTAGTAAGGAGGCCTGGGCAACCTATGGGGCCCTGGGCAGTGGATCAGTGTTTATCCCTGGTATACAAATGGACTTCGTGTGTCCATAACACAAAGAGGGATGCTCTCTCAGCCTGGACTCTTAGGGGAGTGCCTGGACCCTGCCCTGAGGGAAATGACAGACTCTGGATATCCCCTATGTGGAAAGAAGTGGGGATAGGGTGTGAGGTTGGGGGGATGGTGGGGGGTGCGGGAGGAGGGGAGGGAGAGCAACTGGGATTGACATGTGAAGCAAGCTATTTAAAATTAAAGTAATAAAAAAGCTAAAAAAAATTTTAAAACTGCCTGCATTTAAAAATCCTCATGTAAAGACAGCATGGCCATTTGCACAAATAATATAAGGGGAGAGAAAAATCCATCATTTAATTCTTATTCATTCCAGCATCTAAGAGCACAGCTTTAATATTACGATCCAATAAAGATATACGGGCATTGACTCTGAGCATGAAGGTGAGAAGGGGCGGAGTGGGAGATCAGCAGTTAGAAGCACATGCTGCTCTTGCAGAGGACCAGAGTTTGGTTCCCAGAACCCACATCATATCAGTTGACTCACAACACCTGTAACTACTGCTCCAGGGGATCTACTGTCTTTCTGGCTTCCTCCTACCTCTCTCTCTGTCTCTCTGTCTCTCTGTCTCTCTGTCTCTCTGTCTCTCTGTCTCTGTCTCTGTCTCTGTCTCTCTCTTTCTCTCTCTCTTGTGGGGACACCAGACCTTGAGCAGAAACCCACTTCCCCTCCGGCCTGGGAGCAGGCATCTGTGTAATGTTTACTGAAAACAATTCAGTGCTTTAAAGCTCTTGATAGGGCTCAGATAAGGGCTTGCTCACTGAAATACCATGCCTTTCACACCCCCTACGGCTAGATGCCTCTCCCTGTCCCCCCTGTGGTGTCTCCCCGATTCTGGGGCCGGAGATTAAACCACCAGCCAGGAGGGTGAGAAGTCTGGCAAAAATGGTATGTAGATGAATGGCAGAAGTCCTTAAAAAGGGAAGCTCCTTTTTCTTAGAGGGACTTCTCCTGAGACTTCTCTCTCCTAAGCGGACTTGGAATCTCCTCTTAAGCTGACTTGGGAAGCATAAAGTTTTCTTAAAGCAACCGACCGGTCTCTGTGTCATCTATCCCGACCACCTCGCTACATTCTTGGATGCAGGCCGCACAGCAGGTGCGACACTCTCTCTGTCTCTGTCTCTGTCTCTGTCTCTGTCTCTCTCTCTCTCTCTCTCTCTCTCTCTCTCTCTCGTGCCCACACACACACACACACACACACACACACACACACACACACACACACACACACACACACGAATTTAAAAGTATTTTTAAAGGTGAAGACAAGTAGAAAATTGAAGTCATTAGCAGGAGATTACCTCCATGTCTGAGAGACAAGGGCATGTCCTTAATGAGGGTTCCTTCTCTGACCTGGGAAGGACGGGGGAGCCACACATGTCCAGTATCATCTGATTGCCATCAAGTCCTTCTCTCTCTCAGATCTACTAACAACTTCCTGAGTGACCCAGGAAGTAGCCCTGAAACCCCAGCCATCTGCTAGGGTCTGTCCTAAGTACGACTGCCTCAGAATTTTTTCACTTCTGCCTGATAATAGAGGAAGCTTCCTGCTGGGAGAAGAGCCAGATGTGCTGTGATTTCCTCAAAAGAATTACCGATGAGTTGCTACTACCAGACCAATGGTAGGAAAACGTTCTCACGTCCTTGTTGGTGGTATCCTGTGCTCCCTATCCCTCAGCCTCTGACAATTATCAAGGGCTTGTGGCTAACCCCACATTCTCAAGTTACCCCATGGGCTCACCACTGCAGATGTATTTTCCCGTTATATCTCGGATACACATGCCTTAAAGCACATCATATCTTTCATCTGGGGCCTTGGCACTCTAGCCTTTGGAAAAATTTTGTGCCTAGTAGTTCAGTGGGTGTTTGAAAATGTCAGTGATCAAAAGAATTTTAAAACAACTGGTTTCTGAAATTAGTCTTATTACTTAAAGCACACACATGCACAAAATTTGTAGTCCTGTGCCTTCATCTATGCACCTGAAAAAAATGGAAAACAGTTGCTTAAAAAAAACAGAAATACCACTTCCTTATTAACAAAAACAAATCATCACGTCAAGTTACATGTAAGCGTGTGTGTGTGTGTGTGTGTGTGTGTGTGTGTGTGTATATATATATATATATATATGAGTGTGTGTGTTAGTAAATTTTGCATGGGTATACTCAAATGTAGTCTAGTGTGTAGGATATATTTAGGTACACATGTGTGTAGGTACATGGTACATGTGTGTGCATGTATATGGAAGCCAGAGGGAACTTCCAGTGTCACTCATCAGGTGCTATGAGCTTTTTTATTTATCTGGGTTTTTTTTATTTGTTTGTTTAGCACAGTGTCTTTCATTGACCTGGAACTCATAGCATAGGCTAGCATGGCTGAGCAGAGAATCCCCATGGCTCTGTTTATGCCTGCATCCCCAGCATGGGAATTGCAAGCTTCTACCACCACACCTGGCTTTTAAAATGTAGCTTTCTGGAACCTTCAGCTTGGGTCCTCATGCTTGCATGGTAAGAGCTTTGTTGACTGAATTCTCTCTCCAGCTCTGTCAGCAAATTCCATATGCCACTATTGATTGGTGTGGTTCTCAGCTCTTGAACTAGGACCAACCAAATAGAATTGCTTACACTGAGTCTCACACCACAAAGCCAAAGTTGGGCTATTTATCTGCCCTTCAAAGAATTCCTAAGTCATTTATCTGAACTAATAAGAATTTGAGTGAGCAATAATAGACACAACTTCAAACAAGCCAAATGTGGGGGCTGTGATAAGGAAAAAAAGCCCTCTGCCTTAACAAGAAAGGAGCTCACATGCTTTCCCATCTCAGGTCCTGTAAGGCTGAGCTCATGGGAACACTCGTTCTAGTCATTAGGATAAGATGTTACCACAGTTCAGGGTCACAAATAAAAGGCAATCAAGACCTTCAGATTCATTGGGATTTTTTTTCTTCTGGCAATATGCAAGAGGTCTGAAAAGTTATCATTATGTATGATACCTATGCAAACTAATATTCTACAATAAAATTAATGGAGGAGCAGTCTCCAAGTCATATATTAAATGTGATGCCTCCTTGTATTGGGTGCCTGATAAATTACAGCTTTCAGATCCAAGTTAATGGAGCGGTGGGAAGGAATCTCTCTTCTCCCCATGCCTCCCACCCACTCTTTTCTCCTTGCCTGAAACATCTGGCGGGCCTTTGTAGTTCTGGATGATTTGATTTGGAAATCATTAGCAATAATTGATGTGCTTTCTGGAATTTGTTTAAACATTTAATCATGTGTTGGGTTGTTAAGCCAAAGGGATCGTTCAAAAGGAGCCTGCCAAGCTGCTGGAACAGAGATGGGCAATTGCCGAGCTATGGGGCCTCAGGCTTTGGGAGGCTACCACAACCCTGCGTCACATCCACGTTAGGTGAAGGGGCTTGTGTAACGTGGAGGGAGAGAAACCCTACAAGCGTACACACTAAAGTATAAGCCTTCCCTTTTGACAGAGGAATGAGAGCAGCTAGCCAAGTATGTGCGCATTCATGACTAAGGGGGTGCAGAGAGCCATGACTGGCGCCTGAGAAAGCTTAAATCTGGAGTCAGGAGGATCATGGAGGTGTTCTGAAGCAGGGTGGGGAGGTTGCTCTGTTGCGCTGCTGGGGACAAGACTCTTCAGGGTTTTTGGATCTGCAATAATCTGTGAAAGCTATGAATGTGTTTATGTGTGTTTGTCTGCACCAGTTGTGGTACACATGTTTATAATGCCAGCACTCAGGAGGGAAAGGTCCCAGGGATACCAAGAGTTCAAGGCCAGTTTTGTCTACATAGCAAGTAAGAAGCAAGCCTGACTTACATGAGAACCTGTTGGAAAAGCTCATTCACAAACTAAATGTACTGGCTGGTTTTGTGTGTCAACTTAACAAAAGTTAGAGTCATCAAAGGAAGGAGTCTTAATTGAGGAAATGCCTCCATAAGATCCCGCTATAAGTCATTTTCTCAATTATCTATCAGTGTGGGAGGGCCCAGCCCATGGTGGGTGATGCCATCCCTGGGCTGCTGGTCCTGGGTTCTATAAGAAGGTAGACTGAGCAAGCCAGGGGATGTAAGCCAGTAAGCAGCATCCTCCATGGTCTCTGCATCAGCTCCTGTTTCAGTTCCTGTCCTGACTCCCTCCAGTGATGAACAACAAAGCTGAAGTGAAAGCCAAATAAACCCTTTCCTCCCCAACTTGCTTTTTGATCATGGTGTTTTGTTGCAGCAACATAAACCCTAAAACACTAAATAAATACAAATGTATATTGAGAAAAGAAACTCTCTATGGGACTGACCTAGGCCCTCTGCACATATGTGACAGTTGTGTAGCTTGGTCCTCTTGTGAGACTCCTAACAATGGGAACAGTGGTGCCTCTGACTCTTTTTGCTGGCTTTTGGGACTATTCCTCATTCTGGGTCGCTTTGCCCACACTTAACACAAGGCAAGGTACTTAGTGTTATTACAACTTGATATGCCACATTTTGTTGATATCCATGAGAGACCTGCCATTTTCTGAATAGAAATGGAGGAGTGAATGGGGGTGAGGCAGAGGGGAGTTGGGGGGAAAAACTGGGAGGAGAGAAGGGAAGGGAAACTGTGGTCAGGATGTAAAATTAATTAATTAATTAAGAAAAAGAAACTTAGAAAAGATTTGAGGGTGTTGAGGTATAGTTTTTTGGTAGAATGCTTGCCTATTGTGTGTGAAGCCTTGGGTTTGATCCTCAGAACTTCACACACACACACACACACACACACACACACACACACACACACACACGGGAGTTCTTACCCTCTTTACTGGGGAAAGGCTCTCACTATTTAGCCCAGGCTGGCCTCAGCTTCCTGGATTTCCAGCCTAACTTCTCAACTGCTAAAATTATAAGCATGTGTCACCATATCTGGCGAAAAGCACATTTCCCCATTTTTAAAGTGTTCAGTAAACATAATAACTCCGTCAGATGCTATGAAAGTTTCTCTAGAGAACCCTTGGCTTTGGCCTTTGCTTATGAAGGACAGTAGCCAACACTTTGTGGGGCATCACAGGTCTGTGGGTAGCCCTGCATCAGATTACAACCCTGGCTGTTTACCCAAGAACTCATCTCTAGAAAGTCTCCCTTTATGTCTTGAATTCAGGTTTTCTCTGTTTACCAGTTAGACACTATCAATAACCCAGTACAGTGTTAAGAAAACAGTTAAGAGTGGATTAACTATGGCAGGAATTTATTGATTCTTATATCCACACATACATATGTTAGAGTATCTTGAAGGCTGTTTTGTCCCCAGTGTGGCTCACCATCCTAAAAATCGAGGACAGTTTCCTACACCCACTATATTAGCATCACATCTAACACAACATAATAATGCTTCTATAATATTGTCTACTATCCTAATTTCCCAGTTATTCCCCCATGTTTGTGTACAGTTATTTCAAATCATAACCCAGTTAAATCCACACATAGTATTGCTTGTTTTGCACCCTAGGCCTTATAAACTTCCGTAGTTTTTTCCTGTGTCAACACACACACCATCTTGCCAAGGTTCTTGCCAAGGCCATTGACTTCTGAAAAGCTGGGCCAGGTGTGTTGCAGATGGGGTTTCATGTTATAGAGTTTTCTAAGCCTAATAGAGTTTTCTAATCCACAAATTATTGTCTGATTAGATGTTTTCACTGCTGTATTTCCTATAAACTAGAATGTATCTGTAAAGGCCTGACTAAATTTGAGTTTAAAGCTTTTAATAAGATGCAATGTGTTCGCCGGGTATTGGTGGTGCACGTCTTTAGTCCCAACGCTTGGGAGGCAGAGGCAGGAGGATCTCTGTGAGTTCAAGGCCAGTGTAGTCTACAGAACGAGTTCCAGGACAGCCTCCAAAGCAATACAGAGAAACCCTGTCTCAAAAAAAAAGAAAGATGCAATGTGTTCGTAATGCACGATATTAGAAGTTTAAAGTCTTAGCCTCTCAGTGACCATGGGACAAAATACTCCCGCACAGACCTCAGGAGGTGACAGCTTATCTTTCCTTGTAAAGAAACACTCCTCTATTTACAATGAAGTCCATTTGTAAGGCATTGCAAAGCACTGCTGAACATCAAGGAAGGCCAGCTCTGCAATGATGTTCCCTCCACAGTTTGTGCGACTTCTCACAAACACATCACCCCTTCCTTTAAGACCTTCCCTGCTGAGGCTCCAGCCCCCTGAGCCCACAGCAACTACAGTCCACACACACACACACCTGGATAGCCCTAGATGATTTTGGCTTCAGTGTGACAAGATTCCTGTGAGGTACTAGTACCTCTTCATAACAGGACCCTGGTTCTATCTCAGGAACAGCAAACCTGATGAAGTTTGCAAGGGTTGCTGATACCAGAGTTCAATTGTTTCTTCTTTCCATAAAACAAAGAAGCAGACAGAGATTAA